GACTTTTAACTGAGATCTGGGATTCTCAGATGCTGACATTACAGAACCACATGCATTAAAAAGGCAGAGCTGGGTGGGAGCCAGAAGAAGAAAGTAGATAGGATTTTCCAGTCACCAGTGGCTGACAAAGGAAGGTGATCATATTTCCTGGGATCCCCTCACAGACAAAGCCTGACCTTGAGGACCTCCTCAAAGCAGCTGCTACATCTGTGTGTTCCAGATGCAACTGTTCTAGCAATACAGGAATTATCAGGGCCCTTTTTAAAGAAATAGAAGGGCTCAGACTAATCTCTAAACAGAACTTAAATAGGCTGAAACACCAACATTTCTGAGCAGCTTATTAAACAAGTGCACAGATGGCCAACTCTCCTGCAACTTTGACCTTGAAAAAAAACTGACTCCAGGTTTATTTACCCCTCCCTTTCCCATTGACTGAATGCACTTATGTGGTGTGTTGTGAAATTATAAATTCTTTGGGGCACAATCTCAGTTTCTCTAAATTCTGGAAGTTCTTACTCTGTAAAATCAATGGGGTTATGAACTATTCAAGCTGGCTGTAGCTACCCTGTCTGACATGAGCTACAGCATATACCGTAGAAGCATGGTGTTTACATTGTTTGGGTTTTTTTGTTGTTGTTGCCACTGAGAGCTCTGCCATTGATCTGTGGAGCAACCTCAGACATCTCCCTTCACTGAGACTGCTGCTCTTTGGGGAGAGAGCCCTTTCTCACCCTCTCAGGCAGGGGCTACCCTGAACCAGGTTTCATTCTTTCAACATGGCTGTCATGCAAATCACTGTTTCTTCAGGACCATGGAAAAACTCAAGATGCAGAGACACAGTACTTTTCCTTACTCTGTTCTGACTCATCACTTCATGGGAAGCAGTGGAAGGTGGAAACTCAAAGTCAGTCCCAGCACAAGGACCTAAAGGGCTTCATAAATCTGAGTAACATATTTCACAGGGATATTAGTGAAAATGAAATGCATTATTGCAAGAATTTTCTGCCAGGGAATAAAAGCAAGTACAGAGCCCATATATTCAGGGGCAGGGAGGAGGTGTGGGAAGGGAAAAGTCTCCAGTATAGCCTCAGAAATTAAAATTAATCTCAGTGAATAGGAAAGGATATACACATCCATAAACTAATTTTTTCCTCACCATGATACCAGCTTTTAAAGCAAATAATAATGTTGATGAGTTAATTCCATTACTGCCTATCAGAGTGATTAATATTGCCTGACTGTCCCTTTGCGGTGCTCTCTACCATCTAAGTACTCTCTTTCATCTTGCTAATTGATGGCTCTTTGGGTCAGGGACTGTCTGAGGGTTACATTTGGGCTATGGGTCTGTGCTTCAGGATGAGGCACTATGGGAAAACCTTGCTCTGCCAGCTCTCCATGTGCTGGGGTTCACCAGCATCCTGTGCTTCCTTCTCCTGCAAAATGATCAGAAAACCTTCTTGTGCAGGAGGAGCTATACAAGGACTAGGCATCACTTGGTAACAGTTACTCATAACCATGCTCATTTCTTTTGAGCCACACAAGAATGCAAAGAGAGAGCATGATATGTCTCACCAGGAGAAAATAACTAGCCCTGGTAAGGAATTTGAGAATTTTCTTCAACATTTTTTGATGAGCAATATTGCTATATCTAAAATGAGAAATAGTCCTACCAATCATATTTATGAACCATTTTTATAATCAAGTGTTCCAGATTTTCTGAGAAAAAGAAAGAAATAAGAACTCACAAAAAAACTGACACAGCTGGAGTTTTGATTTAAATAGCATGACTTACTATTTAAATATACTCTAAGCAAATACTGTAAGAAAGACTTCTAAGCTACTTCAATAATTTAAACTGCAATCAAGACATTAAAATATTGGTTTTATAAGTGTCTCCATGGTAAGTAGGGAAAGAGAAGTGCTAAGTAGTATGTAGGGAAATAGATTGGAAAGAAACAAGAAATGCAAAGAGAAGATGGAGCAGAGAGGCACACCCGAAGTCCTGCAAGCTGTGTTTGTTGTTCCCCCTGAATGAGAGAGAAATGAGATGGCCCAAGCCCTCTCCCACAGCAGCTGCTGCCACCTTGATGTCCAATGCCAAGGGCAGGTGAAAAAGGCAACGGTGTCAGGGCAGTTTTGCCATCTACTTTGCCAAAGTCAGCTCTCCTGGAGCCCTTCTGAGCCCTCTGAGAGGTTTTGATCATGTCCCCAACTGCGGCAGACATATATTTCCATTGTTTGAATAATGTGTCCTTCCTGCATGCTCCCACTTGGCCAGCTGACCGTGAAGAGATGCTCAGCCAACAAAGCTATTCACTGCAACAAGATGCTCTGCTTGAGATTTTCTGAAGCAGAGATATAATCTGAAATTGTGCATCCATTTTAAAACAATTAACTGTCAGGGCGCAGTCAAGTTATCTGGAGTACAGAAGACAGAAAATTAGTGTTATATTCGTACATTATTTATATTATGAATATATAAGCCTATGCACCTTCTTATGTCCACAAGCAGCACTTGAGCTTTATGCCATTTCTGTTCCATGAATGGCTTATTGGGCTAGATTTTTAACCAAACGCCATTTCCTTAAAAAAGGAAATGATGAGCCATCAAAAAGAAGTGTTTGCTCATGTCCAAAAAATTGATTCAAAGTTTTGTTCACAAGAACAAGCAGGAACAGGAATTTGAGGAGACAAGCAGCTGAAACTCCTAATATTAACAACTGACCTGTCAACCAGAGTTCACACAGTAACTCAGCATGTGGCATATTCATATTTCATTAGGAAAAACCAACCAATCTTTTTCATCATAGGAAAAGCAGAACACTGGGAAAACTAAGATGTCTCCTCAGATGCAATTTTTTTTTAACACCAGGATTAATTCAGGATTGGGGGACATTGTTTTTGGCCAGAAGCATCAAAGACCTCTTGAGGTTCCTTTTGTCCCTGAAAACCTGTCACATATAGGTCTCTCTTCTGTGTGGGCCTACCTTTTACAGATACATATTATTCAGATTTTTGAAACTGAATTATCCTGATTTATGATGTGTTGATAGTCTTATTTTATCTTGAATAAAAGGACCTCAATATCATCATGTGAAAGCAGTGAGGGAGGGAATTCACCCAGACAGAATTAAAGAACATGTATATTCTGAAGGTTTTTCCAAGATTTGGCAGGTGATAGACAAGTCGGTCCTTAACTTTTAGAAAACAAGTCCTTTTTTCATGATGGCAGCTTCACAAGAGATGGAAGGAAAGGTGTGTACATGAAGGGAAAAGCATTGGATTTATTTCTGGTTTAGATCAATTTTCTCCCTTTGTTTAACACAGGAAAAAAAATATAAACCTCTGTTTTAATACTCTAAATACACCAAACAACCACCAAAAATGCTTTGGATTCTGCAAAACTGTTTGTAAGTGTGACGCATAAATGAACATAGCATTTCAATCATATCATAATTGAAGTTGCCCATCCTCCCCAGAAGAGGTTTTTCCATTTTAGCATGAAGGTATAGTCTTTTTCACTGGTCCCTAAGGTCCCTTTCACCCAGTCATTTCAGCATGTTGATAATGACAGCCAAGTCAAGGAATGAAAATAGAAGGCAGCTGGTAAGATAATCCTGGACGTCATCCGGATGCAAGTGAAGCATGAGCATCTAATTCATTAAGGGAGTGGGAGGATTAGGGTGGTGCTGAGCATCTATTCTGTTTAATTTGACATTCCATTAATTTAGCCTCTCAGTGGACAGGACAGGAGGTGCAACATAATTATGGCTCAGAATCTGAAACCTCTGGCATGTCTGAAGACTTATTAGTTTTGTGGCAGTTGGCTGGGGGGAGTGTGGCAAGAGTCAAGCAGACTTTGTGCTCGCTGTACCCACTTCAGTAATAAACTGCATGTAGGACTGGTGAAGCTCTCTTTGGAGATCAAAGACACTGCCTCTATATAGCAAATTACTGTCCAAGAGCTTTGAGAGCAGAAACTTCCAAGGATGCTTCACAATAGCTACTTTAAAAGCTAGATGGAAGAGGTAGGATCCTAAATTTCTTCTCAGAGTGAACAGCATTGCTGAAAACACAAACCCGTGTTCCCAGTGAGCCTCTTTTCCTGCACAGCTACTCAAACAGTCATAATGATTCACCAGCCAAATCCTGCTCTGAACCAATGTTCAACTGCAGCAAATCCACAGGCCCTGTTCTGACATGTATTCAGCCTTAGCAAGCGCTGTGCACTTCCTACCTCTGTACCACCATGCTGGAACATGCGGGATCCAACGTTTTCACAGGAGCTCTTGGGAGAAAGAAATATTGGAAAACATCTGCCCCCTCACCTCTAAGCATCAAAATAAATGACCAGATTTTTCAAGGGCTCTCAAAATACATCAGCTGTTGGGGAATCTGAGTATTTGAGATGTTCCCAATGCTTTACAACAATACAAACAAACACTTTCACATGTCTCTCACTCCAGCTGACATCTCACCTTGAAGTCACATCAGATTTTATTTCTTTGATTGAGAGGTAGATGTGTGAAAAGATGTGTAATAGGGGCCCCCACTAATATGTTTCTCACAGAAAAATTGACATCTTGGTACCATATTGATTTAGTCTGTTGGACACTGCTGGCTATCAAAGGTGCAGTGTTATAGAGAAAACATCTGACTCATTCAAAATTACATAAGTCACAGTACCTAGACATTTAGATAAACTTAGGATATACAGACAGACCTTTTAACTGCATTTCAATGTAATTAGCTGAAGGCTGGCAGCCAGATGGACAGCATTAGAGACAGAAACTCTCAGTTAAATCATACAGCAAGCAGAGCATCAGGAACTTGTCATCATTGTCCGTCACGTCTCGTATCCGCAGGAGTCAGAGGCCTCCTGCATTCAGACTGCAGCCCCCAGCCAGGTAACCAAGAGAAGTGACTGTTACCTTTGGTCCTGCAATACATTTAAGGGCCTGCTGGAACTGAATGAAGACATTTGAAGAGGTAAAACCCACCTGGCAGATGAAACCAGTGGATGAGCACTGCCGAACCCAAAGACTGAATTTCCTCTTTTTCCTCTTGCGCAGCTCCCTCTCTGTACAGGTTGCAATGAAAACAGGATCCTCATCTATCAGGGGCTCATGTAGTACCTGCAAGTGGCAAGAAAACAGGCAGGGAAAGAAATGGAAGAATACATGATTGCTAAAAAAAGGTGCTTTAATTGCTTTCAAGGAAATATAACCCTTGCACTTGCTTGCGTGCATCACCCCAAACAGAGAATCAAACCCATTTTTGTTTGATGCTACCATCCAACAAAAACCAAAACCTGGCTAAGCACACCCCATTATGGATAGCTGGTCTACACATAATTTGCAAACATTGCAAGGCACAGCTCTCACTTCTTACTATCTGCTACAATTCAACATCCCTCCAAAATGATGCAGAGGATGGGGCAGGGAGAGTGGATTTTTAGCAGCATCCTTCTCCATGCTTCTTCATAAGCTTCATATTGTTTGGCAGATTGTTTTCTACCCAACCATCCCCTACAATTTGTTGTAAAGTATATTCCTTGGTTATAGCAAAGGAATAGACATAATAAAGAGAGAGAGAAGTTAAGGGAGAAAAAGATGCTTTCTGCTGCCACTTGAGGAGGTGGTGAAGAGACAGAAAATATTTTTCCTAGCAGCAGCAGCTTTAGGGAAGTCTCTCTTGCCTCAGGAGCTGAAAAAATTGTCGAAAGGAGGCAAGGATAAACCACCAGATGCAGGAGTAGAAAAGCTAAGACAGAGCTTTTCTAAGCAAGTAATGAAGACCTGTGAAAACGAAGCAGTTTCTGCATTCTGCATCCAGATGATGTAAGTGGTTCCCTGTTTCTTAAAACTGTTTTGTTACATTTCTCTGCATTAATTTAGCAGCAAAACTGAAGTGTGCTACTGCTAGGTATCACACTGTGGAACTCACCTATAGCAAAGTACTAGTAGCTCCCCACAGCTCACAGGCAGCTGTGCATAACATACACACACCTGAGTGCACAACGTGCAAGCTGTTTAGCAAGCCACTTGTGAAAGCACAAAGACTTGCAAACTGTTGAAAGGTCTCAGCTGATGAATGCTGGCCAAATTCAGCCACGTACATCTAAATCAGAGCAAGTCACTGCAGGCTCCCCTCCTTGTACGTGTGGGGAAAGCAGTCCCAGCAGGCCATAATTCATACCCTTGTAAAGACGTGCAAAATAGTCAGATGGGTTATAATTTAAAGGAGTCTGTTCTTTTCCAGTGACCATCCCTCCAGGAGATAGGCTCAGATACAGGCATGCAGAGGCCCCCACCCTCAGACAAAGCCTCTCCACACCTGCATGTGTGCTACTTTTGTACACATCTGCAGAGTCAGTGGCAGAAATGAGAACAAAGCCACACTAAACCTAGGAGTGACACTTGTAGGAGAGAAGTGGTGGGTGAGCAGTTAAGCACCAGAGACAAGCAGCTGCTTGCCTCCTGAACACAAGATGTTTGCTGAACATCATTCTGTCAGCCCAAAATAGGCACCTGTGCCCTCCCCACGCAGTGATGGCTGCACGCTGTCATTTATACGCACTCCACTTCGTAACGACTCATGAAACATTCACAGGACCATCTGAAAGCACTCTTGCAAAATGTTCAAATTATACACCAAAATGCAGATGTGAGCAAGGAGAGCTGCACACAAAGCTATTTGTTCTTCCAGCTGCAGCTGCCCTGTTTCCCCACTGAAGCCAAATCTTCCTCTCTCAAGGTCCACACAGAACAAAACCCTTCCTCTCTAAGGCCACCTGGGGCATTTCCCACTTCTGCCTCAGAGGATTCTCAACAGCATTTTGCAAACATTAAACTTGCCCTCATTTGCTTTTGCCTTTCTGCTTCTCAAGTGCAGAGGGAAGGAGCACATCCTTGGGATAGGGTCAGATACATGGTTAAGAATTTCTCAGCTTCTGGAAAGGCTCTCTTACCTGCTAGATCCCATTGAGTGGTGTAGTTCCACTATTATAATCTCCCCTGCTGTAGGATGGAGAGCAGCAGAAAGAAAAGGCTGTATAAGCAACACCTTAGAACATCTTTTACCCTCTGTCATTAGCTTTTTTCCCTCTGCACCACAGCATCAACTCTCCTCGCATCAGCTCGACTGCATATTGTTTACCCTTCACACTCTTTCTGCCTTCTGTGACACAGTAAGGCCTGTCAGCCTTACATCTAGAAAGCAAATCTGAATATTTAAAACCTCTCTCCATCTTCCTTTTCTTCCTGCCCATGCTCAGCCCTGCCTTCCCTCCTTCGTTCCTCTGTACTGAATTTAAGTAATTTCTCTGTAAGTTCCAATTCAACTTTTGTGAAGAGGGAATAAAAATGTGAACAGACTCGGGAAAGATCTGCTGTTGCTGCAAAGACAAAATGTGGACAGGCAAGAAAATTAAATGAACACCCTGGAGCTTCTTTCAGAGAGTGGGGGACACCCACTCCACATGTAACCACTGCTTCAACAGCTGTAAAGAACTTTGGAAGCGAGGCACTGTATGGGCTGTTTCTGCCCCTGGCACTGACATGGTGTTTTTAGGACAAAAATTGGCCCTGTTGCCACTGGCCCATCCTATTAGTTTGTTCACCCTCCTGTATTCTCAGTCTCCCTGCTTTTCCTGTAATCTCAGATCCATCTATTTGCCAAATCCCCATGCAAAGTTATATTTGCTCCCTCTCTATTCCCCATTCTTGCTGTTGCTGCAATACACACTTTTACAGCAGTGAGCTTACAGGAAAGAAAGGCATATTCTTTCCTGCTTCTCATCTTCCTTGATAAAAATCTACTTTCAGGTTTAATTACTCCTACACATATTCCTGGCCGCCTCTTCACCATCTTTTTCTCACTCCCCAAGCGCTCCCCTCTTCCTATTCTGACTTCCTATGATGCAAGATAGTTTGTGGATTTCTTCATAGAAATCATCCCCATTTTCTTCTCTCAAATTCCCAGTTCTGTTCAGATCTCAGAAGCTCTTCATCTAGCTGCTTTGCTCCTCCACTGCTATCACTCCTTTCCTTTCCTTTCCTTTCCTTTCCTTTCCTTTCCTTTCCTTTCCTTTCCTTTCCTTTCCTTTCCTTTCCTTTCCTTTCCTTTCCTTTCCTTTCCTTTCCTTTCCTTTCCTTTCCTTTCCTTTCCTTTCCTTTCCTTTCCTTTCCTTTCCTTTCCTTTCCTTCCCTTTCCTTCCCTTTCTCTTTTCCTTTCTCCTTTCCTTATAGTAATCCTTATCCCTGATAGATCTACCTACCAAACCTTCACTCTTTGTTTTCCCCCCAGTCTGTATTTGCACTCCAAGTGTTGCAAAGGCAAGATTCCAAGATGGGACTCCATCAATTTCTCTGTCTCACAATATCTTTCACTCGCAGAACAAAACAGCCCCTATCAGGAGTGCCTTTCTTTCTTCTCCATTTTAGACCATTTCCAATGCTCTTTCCACACTTTCCACACCAAAATTCCACCCATCCTCTCTCACAGAGTCCAAACAGGCTTGTAGACAAAGCCCAGAATCACTAAGTCTGTTGCACTTGGAACTCCTGGACTCCATATACTTAGATAATGAACCAACATATCCAGGAAACATATCCCCCTGAGCTCCATGGCCATCCACAACACAGGCTGTCTCTTCAGCCTGTCTCCTGGAGAAGCTGCCTCAGCTTGCCTTGTCTCTGGCTTTTGGTGGGTACCATCCAGCTGCAGAGGATGGTAACTGTGTCTGGATGCACAGTCAGTCATTCCTTCTGCAAGGATAGCTTGTGCCTCTGCCTCTCTGCTCCAAAGCTCCTCCTGTCTAATCTAAATTCTCTTGCTGGTGTCTGACATCTCTGCTTGCATATCTAGCTGCCAGTTCTGATTCCATTATGCTGCATTTGAGAGCATCTCCCTTCCCTTAAGAACCCCTCAGCATTTCCTTTTTTGGTAATTGCAGACGTCCCTCTCCTCCTGCTGCAGATATCACTGGCTAGTGAATCTGAATGTCAGTCTTTACCTCCTACTTGCAAAATCTCCTCAGCCAGGCAATGCCTGCATTTTCCATGCTTTCTGAGTAAGAGCTCTAAAATGGCACTCATTTTAGAGTAGCAACCCACCCAACCAGACAAGTTTACATCCAAACCCCTCAATCATCCTGCAACAGTTTTACTTTTATTCAACATAACGCAATCTTCTTCTACAGACTGCTGCTGGAAAGCCATTTTCCTAGTCACTCACACTGACCACATCACTTTTCTTTATTTCTCTATCATAGTTCTTCTCCAGTATATCAGACAGATTCTTTCTATTCTCATTTTTGAAGTCCTGCTTGGCCTTTCCACATTTTACAGCTCCTCTCTGCCATCATTCAAAGGTAACTGACTTCCAGTGGAGCCATGATTCCATGCTCCTCTGCCCATTTGTTCAGTCATCAATCAGTCCTCTTAAGAAACAAAAAGTCAGTTCTTACAGCACTCCATTACCATTAGGTAATTTAAAAATAGCAATGAAGTTTCATAATTTTCTGCTGCCAAACTCTCCCTAAAATCTGGCATCACAAAAGGATCAACTGGCCAAGAGCTACAGGACATCAGAAATTTACCTTGCAACTCAATAGTCCTATTGCTCCTCTGTCTGTCTTTCTCTTGCTCATACTTGTCTTATATTTGGCCAGCAGTCTCTGAATATTTATGTATTTGTGCCACTCTCACAGAAGCTCTAAGACAGAATGATTCACATTTGGGACCAGCACCCTCAACTCCTAAAGAATCATTTTGAAAACAAGAAATCTGAAATATAGAGGTACAGCATAAGCAAGGTCTTATAATTTGGAAATACCCAACATCAAATGAACATATAAGCATGAGGACAAAAAAGCAGGTTGACCAGCCTGGTTTTGCCCCTCTGTGTTTTCAAAGAGGCTGTCATCTAAAGCTGTGAGCTGGTTTGGAAGAGCTACGTTGAAATTGCTTAGCTGTACCCTATGATACCATCTAGAGTGAAACACAAAGAAGCTGCCCAGTAACTGGCCAATGTTGAGCACCATGCCCTTGGAGCAAGAGGCTGGACTTACATCTCTCTTTTTGCCAGGGGATTCACTCCTGCTGGTGACTGTTCCCAGCTGACATTTCACTGGGCAGATGCAAAACTGTTTGGTTCCAAAACATCAAAAAGAAGGTACTTTAGAGGGAGTGGGAAGCAGAGAGAGCCTGGAGTTATGCTCCTGACCTCTCCCACACCAGTCCGGGGCAGCCAGAGACAGCAATCCTGTCTAGCCACATCCTGCTGATGAGCATATAAACACTCAGCAGGCACAGAAGGATATTTGAGCTGTGATGTTATTTTCCCTGAACTCCTCTGGTTTCTGGAATTCAGTGTATATCCTTGGCAGGTGAGTACCCTTGAATTTGTTGCTCTACACCTCCCAAGTGCAGGCAGGGCATCCTCCCTACCTTCAGGCTTGCAGACAGTAGCACAGCTACAAAGCTAAGTAGCAAAGAAATAACGCTGCTTAAAAGAACAGACCCAAATCACCACCTCTTGTTGCTCAGGTAGAGGCAGTGTTTATTTATACAGATGATGCTGAGGAGGGATAAGATGCAGAGAATATTCCTGTCATTTTTTTTTACCAATCTAGGTCAGAACAACATTTTTTAAACTTCAGAAACTACAGCTAGCACTGCTGATGCACAATTAAAATGTTCTGGACTTTCAATTCCTTCATAAGCTGGAGAGTAATTATTTCCTTTTGTTTGCTCAGTATATTTAGCAAAATAATTATAATTCACTAGATTGTCTTCTTTGTTTTGGTATACTGGCATAGTTCTTTCTCCCTGTTTCCTTTCATAGCAACTGTGGTGTTATTTTTACAGGCACGTTTGGGTGGGGGGAGGGGTCACAGACAAGAAAAAAAAACCCTAAGTATTTTCTGACAGAAGTTCCACTTGAAGAATCTTTTCTAGCTCTCAAAAAAGAAAAGATCAAATCTATAGAATAAATAACTGTGAAGGCAGATGCTGTGCTGCCTGATGGATGCAGATAGTCCCTGCTCTGTCTATAGGGGTGAGTTAAACATGGCATCTTCCTAATCTGTGCTCTATGAGTCCACACTGCCAGAGGAAAAAAGTCAGTAACAAGCCTACCCATAGGCCCAAACAGCCCTGCTGCATTCAACAGGAGCTGTGATTTAGCTGTTTGATGCCACTTACAAGAAGGTAGCATAAAGCTTGTGGGTCAGCAACAAGCCACCCAGGCACCACAAGTTTCATGTTGAAGATACAGATGTACCTTAAGCAACAAATCTATTCTGAACTTGGGATTTCAGGTATCACTGATCACAGAAACCTGGGGATCCCTTTCCAACTGGCTTTCAGTGGCAGAACTTCCAAAAGCCCATCTAAGTGGTTCTTTCCCGTCATCTTTGCATTTGCTTCTTTGCAACTGGCTTATTATTTTTAATTATTTCTGGTATTTCTCACTAGGCATTCTGGGTCTGATGTTTACTGCAGTCTGAATTCAAGACAATTTGCAGGGAGAGGTCTTTCCTGCTGTTTTGAGCAGATGGGGTCCTCATCTCTTGAGACAAGTAGTGTGCTGCCCTGACTGATGGCACCCAGGAGGATGTCATGCACAAGGCTCCCTTCAGGAGGAGGCCTGGAACATCCCCCAGAAGCCTACTGGAGGTACACTAGGGTATTTTTAACAACAGATTCAAAAGCTTATTCTTTCTCACAGGGTTATTTTTGAAGCTGTATTTTAGTGCTTTTTGTTCCACTCAGTATCACTGAAACATGCTGCATAGAAATCACTGACGTAAACACTGACAAAGGAGCACACAAGTGGAGGAGGAAGGAAGAAAATTGGGCTGTCTCTACTTCTTCCCCCTTATTTTTTTTAAGTAGCATCTCCTTACCAAGCTCAGGATAATAAAACATTTTGCTTGTGAAGATTTAGATGTTTTGCCACTGCAAACAGGGTGCTGTGATTTTGTCAATTCAGTTCTAAGCCTTACTTGGAATGGGGAATGCATATACATGCAAATAAAATCTTATCCCTTAATGGATTTGCACTCACAGTGTGTGCCACAGCACACCATTATAAGCACTTGCATTAGACACAGTGATCAATTTCTGAAGCCTTTATCTTCCCGTTGAAGTTAGCAGCCATAAGGATTAGATTTCATATCTTTAAGGGAGCTCAGTCCCAACAATTACATGTTTCTCATTGCCTGTTTTGTCTTATGGAAACATACCTTGCATAGCTTAGTGAGAACACTCTTCCCTCCTCCCTTCTCTACCTTAACAGCTTTTTAGGCAGCTGTGTTCTCATGGGTTATATAGGTGTGATTTTTATTGTCTATAAAATAAACTGTAATCACTCACCATTTATTTTAGGCACACTTCAATGCATGTACAGCATCTATGCCTTCATTAATTTTGTGCAGTGGGCTAAAATGGGATGCTTCAGAAGGGAAAGAGGAAAAATAAGAGGACTATGTATACAACACCCTTTCCAAATGCTTAAGTGAAATATTTATGTTCTGGAAATAGAAAATTGATTGAAAAGTTATATCAAGCAGTAACGTATTTCATGCTTATTCCTTTTTTTTTCCGGATTTCTGAACACAACCAGTAGCAACAGCTTCAAAAGCAGATAATTTGTATTGAATGAAGTTTAAATAGATTATGATGAATATGAAAAGATTTTCACCTGTCTCCCTTTCCAGTCATGAGGAAGCAGCAGTGTTACTGGACCCTACAGCAAGCACCTACTGCTAAGGTCAGGGACAGTCACTCTAGCAAACTCAACTCCTCCACCCCACTCAGCCTGCTTCCCTCCAGCCCAGCTGCACCAGCTCTACCCCTTCTACCCTTGCACAACTTGCAACCTCCCATCCTCAGGATAGCAAAACCTAGTGCCAGCCTCACTGAGAAGTGGCCAAGCTTTTTTAGGTCACTAAAGCAAACAGCTCCAGCTCAGAGAGCACCATTCCCACTGAAACCTATTTGGTGCCTGCACTGACAGACACTGATGAGCACTCACACAGGACAGTGCTGCTTTCTCTCTTGCTTCATGGAGGCACTGCAGCACAGCTTCACACTGGGAAGCCCCAGCTTTCCCCAAGCAGCTGTGCTGTGCACTTTCTGTCCCAGTGAGACAACCAGGTCAGATGTTCCCTGCCAACAGCTTAACTCTTACCTGGGCTTGTGAAGGCTTGAAAGCAGAGTCAAAGCCATTCTGCAGAGAGTCCAGAAAAGGCTGGATTTTGTAGAGGCTATGCGTTGTCTGGCTCGAGCGGAAGGCCACAATGTGGAAGTACTTCAGAATCTTCTCAAACCTTGATTGTGTCATGATAAGTGCAATGCTCTTGTTGCTGTAGAAGCCGCTGCTCCAGATGCTGAGAACAGACTCACAGTGGTGGATGCTGGTTGATATCATGTAGCCTAAGAAGGCCTTCATTTCTGTCAAGGTGACGTCAATCCAGGCATCGTCACTACCAAACCTCTCCTGGTATTTCTTTGCATACATGTTGGTTTGGACCACCATATTCTTTAATACATTGTCAGGGACAAAGAGCTGAAAAAAGTCCATGGCACTGGCCGTCAAGGGCATTTTTCGTGTTGGACCTAGGATAAAAGAAGGAAAGATAGGCACACTCCTGATCACCACAAGGCACATCCAACACCAGAAATTAAAAGCATGAGTAATTTTTCTCATGCAAATGATGGTATGTACCCATTGCCTAACAGACTTCACCAGGAAACTCCTCCTCCCCCCCATATTCTTCCTCCTGTATGATACTGTACACTCTGAAAAGTTTCTCCCTCTGCTCTGCGCTCATTACTTTGAAGCATGCAGGCTTGTGAGACAAGCAGGCATTTTATTTCTCCACTTACACATTACCTGAAACTTTTATCCTCAGCAGCTGTTTTGGACTCTTTCTGGATAGTTTTTTATTGGTCCATATGCATGTCAAAGCAGTGCCTTCCTCCAAACAGCCCAGAAGGACAACGTGAGTCCTCCAGAGGCAGCACTGCCCTCATCCCAGACAACATAATTCCTAGGCTCTATAACCTGATCCCACCTTTCCTCCTGCACCTCTAATTCCTCCCTAGTTCACTGTCATAATTCTGTGACTTTCATATCTGCCCCTGCTCCACACAGAGTCACATACACATCTATGTGTTTTTGAGTTTTGTGCCTCTGCCACCACACTGGAGTTTTATCCTGCACTCTGATATCCCCAAGAAAGCATATTACCAGAACAAGTGACAGCTACCATGTGGCTAGTGTCACTGTCCCACATCACAGGGAATATTTTTAGCACTATAATACATGCAGTGGTCCTCTTCCTCCCATAATGTAATAAGCCTTGCAGTCCCATGCTGTGATTACTCTAGCATTTCACTGATCTTGCACCTTTTCTGCCAGTTTCAACTACTCCATCAGAGGAGGGTGATAAAAACAAAAAGGAGGCTCTAAGGGCTGGCAGCACTGTACAAGTTCAGCCAGTCAGACACCAGATTACACTACACTGAATTAGGAACATCAAACCCACAATACCAGGGATGCAGACACCAGTACTTACAGCCCCCTCTCCTCTAATCCCTCCCACAAACTAATCAAGCTCCATTCCAAAAGTAGTAGTTTTCATGCTTGCACCTCCTAGTAGTGTTTTAGTTATCGGGTAAGGGCAGGGAACATCCTCTATTCTACAGAAGCAGTGAAAACCAACACCCTGAGCTGAGCAGCCTCTTCAAACCCAGCAGACAGGGGAGCACTTAAAAACAACTACACTCCTGTGAAAAAGACAATGTCCTGGGTATAATCCCAAACCCAGAAATACTGCACCTTAGTCCAGCAGCCTTTAGCCCTGGAACTGTCTGAAATACTCCTCCTAATCAAAAGCAGAAGGCATACAGCTTCTCATTTGGAGTTCTGCCCAACAAGAGCGAGTCTTTCTTGCACTACAGGGCTGTCTGGATCTCAGCATCAGCTCTCCCAGCTGCATCAGAGCATGAGACTGACCATCACACAACCTGGCTCTGCAAAGATCCACTAGCACGTTGCTCAGGTCGCATTCTCCAGCACCCTTGTATCTCAGTTCACATTCCCAGGTACAGCAACAACTACAGCTTGCAGAAATTTTCCATGAAACAGAACTACAAGGAATTACACAAATATGGTGGTTGGACTTGCTCTTAAGCCTTAATGCTTGAGTGCACTCTGGTGAACTCAAGCTACTAGAAGGACAGCAAAAATAGACTTTGAAACAACATCAAGACTTTGAAACAGTAAACCTCCAGATTGCAAAGAATGCCAAAAAAGCAAACAAAACTGGATTTTTTTTAGAATAAAAACTACCTATTTAAAGATTACTTTCCAATTTTAGTTTGTGAGATTAAGAAACTTTCAGCTGAAAGCACATTCCTCTATATTGTAAGACCAGAAGAAAGAGCTTTGCACAAACCATGTTTTGGTTAAAACAGAAAATTTCAGTTTAAGTGATAAAAGGCTTTCATTATCAAGTGAAAACTATGGTGCTAGAACAGATATATTTACTTCACCTTAACTGCTAGTGCAATAATAAAGCTGCTTAACAAATGTTTTCTTCTTTTGATCAGAAGGTTTATTTTCTGCTAGCACTGGCTAGCACTCTTATAGCTCACAAAAGATGCTCTATGCATGATTCTGTATCTTCCTTCTTCCCCATAACTTAATCAAGTTTTTTATATTCTACAGTAGGTATGGCTAATAACAACACATGGAACAGAGTGTATTCCTAGTTCTATATGAAATCTTGAGTAACTATGAAACTCAGCTCCAGTGCTCAGACAACCTTCCAGGTAGCACACAGAGATAGTTTTTAAATACGTAGCTTCAGAAGCAGAAGCTGGGAGTAGGGGTAATATTTTAAATCTTGTCTACAGCAAACAAGAATTCATGAAACATCAAGTCTTACAAAGTGAAATATCTTGAGACTCTTGGATATGGACAACAGGTACATGCTGGACTCCATCTTCAGGGAGGTAAGAGCAGTCAGAAGCACAAAAAATGTAATTTTTGTGTAATTAAATTCTCAGCAGCTGCACAAGTTTACCTCGATAAGTGATAATGGAAACCTGACAGGTATACGGCATACAATAATCCTTCCTTGCCCAGCAGTCCTGCTCCAGACACAGAGAACCTGCTACATCCTCTCCTTCCTTGAATAAATACACAAGCTTTGTATCTCACTGGTCATGCAGAACCCACACAGCTCTAAAAAAGCAAGCTGAATCACTTTCTGACTCAAACATCAACATAATTGTTGATTAAATAAAATTATGAAAGCCCCTGTATAATCTCATTGTCTTAAAAAACAGTCTTTATTGGCAAAGTGAGTACAGCTGATTCATAATTTACTGATATGCAATATGATATAACAAGAGCAACATTGAATTTCAGTAGGAAAAGTGAATTTTTAACATTAATTGAGTTTTGCATAGTTAATGACCAGTCTAAAATATTTAAATATTACTTTCTAAATACACAAATATATCCCATAGAGAGAGCCAACTATCTGCATAAGGAACTTAAATAGCTAATTTGTAGTTTTAAAGGATTTTTACATTGACTTAAATGACACTTACCCAGAAAATACTGATATGAAGAGTTCAGTGTTTCATACATGCACTGTTTACCTTTCAAAGCTTTACTCAGATAAATGAGTGACTTTGCATAGTTGTCCATTCTCAGAATAATTATACAATTGTGACTGTATGTAAAATTCAGATTTTTCTCTCTCCTCTGCTATAGAGTGTTTGTATGGAGAATATATTTACTTTCATAGGGTTTCTTTAAAAGCCACTTGGGGTTTCCAATACAAATTACAGAGACAAAGTGCAAAAGCACTCTTGGAGTGCCTGAACATGCAGCCAGATCCAGTATTCCGTGCACAGTCACGACAGGGACAGAGCTCTACTGAGTAACCTCTGATTGGGCAGCACACACGCCAGCACCAGAACTTTGGGCTTGCTCTAAGTGACCTTGCAGGATGTGGAAAATAACAAACAACTTCTGTTATGGTACAGCCTACACACACAAGCTCCTCTTCCTTTTAACTCTGTCTGCCAGCAAGAACTTGCCTGCGCAATCTGCAGCAACCACCTTGCGAGTCATTACTGCTATTTTGACTCGCTGGTTCCATTTCCTCTTTTGCACTCAGAAGGAATATCTCCCACAAAGAGACATCTCCATTTGTAAGAATAGTCTCAAAATAAATGAAAAAACAAAGCATGAAAAGCTATTTGTGTGTCTGTACTGGCAATGTGACTGTGAAGCAAAAGCTGGCCCCTTGCCCTTGGAGCATGTGCATTGCAGAGCCCGGTGTGGCTCAGCTCGGCTCAGGGCAAACTGCAGCTGCCTCGCTGGCCCTCCTGTCTAGCCAGAGAGCAGGCTGCATGCTCAGCTTCTCAGCAAACATACCCACTGCACAACTCCCAGAATGATCTAAGAAAAAGTTCAGGTGGAACTTCAGGCAGGCCCTGCTTGTCATCCTAAAATCCCTGGTCTTCTCTCTTAGATGGGTGCCCACCAGTCACATTGTTCCCCCTGCTTCGTTCCCTTTCTAGTCTTCCTCGCTGAGCAACATATTAGGAAAAAAAAAAAGAATCCCAAGTGAATTAAATGTTTTTTCCTTACTTAACTGGTTTGCAGAATTAAGTAATTTGAGAGCATTTTTAAAAGGTTAATGTACCCTTTCCCATTTTTTCTGTTCTGATTACCAACCTCAGAATTCACAGAATAAGGGATGGACAAAAGACAGAAAGTTTCAAAATGTACTGTAACCTATCAGTGCTTACAGCATAGTATACAAATCTTAAGAAGGTCAAAAGCATCATTATTTTGGGCATGATAAATCAGATATGTAAGGAGAAAACACAGTGAAAGAAAGTTCTGTTGCTCTGCTGTGCAAAAGACTCTGCTCTCATTCAAACTGCAATTGAGGCCCACAATAAAATATCCCATTACTCCAACAGACCCAGGTGTTACCCTATGTACAACCCAAATTGCATGGTTTGTAAAAAAACCTTGTGCAGAGCTAATCACAGCTCATTTTGAAATTAATGCAACTTCATTAACAGCTTGGCAGACCCCAATACTCCCAAATCAGGAACAGGAGTGGTAGAAGTATCAGTTCAATAATTTAGAAGTAATTTTATTGTCTTTGAGGAAAAAATCTAACAATTTATAGCCACCCACGAGAATAACACATTAAGCATAATATATGCATATACATACCTAAGAAAAATCAATCCAGAAACTTTTTTTTTTGGCCATTGGGAAGTACCTTCTTCTCCAATATATGGTACAGCCTTCAAAAACCAAGGTTTAAAAAGCCAATTAATTCCTTTGTCCTAAGTCCAAGCAATTGGAAACTGTTTTATATTCCTGACAAGTTACCTTTGCAAAAGTGCACAACATGATTTTTGGGTCTTATTTAGAGAACATAAAAAATGCTGACAGAAGCTTTTCATCAGAAAATATTCATCCATCAAAAAATCATGACATCTTTATGGAAGGTGTCAATGAAATATGACAGACAGTTAAAACAATTTCTCATCTTTTTCAATGCGTAGGGAGC